AAAAAAAAAAAAAAATGCCATACAACGATCGCGTAACACCGTGCGAGAGAGACGGTCACTTGAAAATTACGAAATTATTTTCAAACCGAATAGAAAAAGCTCGTGTGTCTCGAACGATAAAACTTTATCTATTACCTTTCGAGGACCGTACGCTTTACGGATCCGCTTCTGTAAAATGACGCGACGCGTTTACATAAAGCACGTTCGCTCGTTTCAAGGTCTAATTGATCGTACGCGTATTCGAACCGATCGAAATTGTATGCGCCACTGCGACGGTGTGGAATTACACGGATATACGCAAGACGCGACGAGGGCTTGTTGCGTCGCGTCTCGTATGAGGATGAACGGCAAAAAAAGGGAGAAGAGTAAAGCGAGAAAACGCCTCGCGTTTATCGCGTAACAGATGTCAGATTCTGGCCGCTCCGATCTCGGATATGCGGATATACGATTGGCTGAGAAAAACGCAATTGACGACGGCCAATTGGCCGTTAATAAGCGATGTCAAAACCCGAGCTACGTCAAAACAGCCTGCCCTGAGATCAGCTGTCCGATCGGTCGCGTTCTCTCCCATCGCACGCGACACGCGATCGGCCGACACGATCCTGTAACCGGCCCTTCGTCAGCGTATGCGATAAACGTTCTTACTCACCGCAAAAAGGGAGCTCCTCCCTGGAAGTCGGACTCCAGTTACGCAATGCGATGCGCGAGGGGACACGTGAAAATACAGAGTGAGCTGTCAAGTCGATTCGTTTGCGTCGTCTGCTACCGCGAGATATCTCGACCCGAGTGATTACAGACGACGCGTATGGTGTTTCAGTGGATTCGCGAGTGAACGCATCGGTCGTCGCGTTCGTCGATTGGTCAATGCGCGCTTTCCTTCCGCGTCGACCAATCCGATGGACCGGACGAGAAGGCGGTGTTTTCAAATCACACGTGTAAATTCGCCATACGATGGTAAGTCCGTTGCGATTCCGCCGATTCGATATCACGATTTGACAAGATGTAATAGGTTATGTTCAAATCTAATACACACATAATTTTATTTCAAAGTTAATCGCGAGATAAGCCGCGTTCGACGGAACATTTCGTAGTAATTTTATCACTTGTTCGCGATGCACATAATTTATTATTTTAAAGTTATTTAATTTTGTCACGATAACTCGGCATCCCCTAAGAATTTGTGTTAACGGCAAGTACGTATATATTTATGCAACTAGAGTATTATGCTTCTTATTCGATTATTTCTAAGCTAATAAGTTATTCGGCAAAGAGATATTACATGTAGCCAAATTATTTATATGTTGCACCATAGTTGATATTAAAGATGGTAATCCATGTATGACAATCACAGTTAAAACACGATAACAATTTTATATTTAGAATAAATATCTATATATATTAATATATTTTATCTATGATTTAATCAATAATATTAATATGTATTGTTAGTTTGTACTATCATATTACAACGAAAAAGATGTATACATATTGCTTCATTTTCTATCCATACCATATAATAATTCCTTCAGTGATTCTTCATTTATGGTTTGTAAAGTATCGGTGACTTTGTCACGATTGAAGGTTTGTTCTCTGTCTGAGTCTATTGTATTCATTTGCACATTGTCAGAAACTTGTGGAAAATTGGTATAGGAATCTATCGAATCCTCTTTACGTTTAGGTGAAGATACTCTCAAGTGTTCCATCTCGAAAGTAGGTGATGATATGCTATTTTCGAGAGGAGACATCACCATGGAGAAGAAATCATTTGTGCTTTTTATATCTATCTTTTCATTATCCGACTGTATTTTCTTAAATGATTCTGCAGATTCCTCGAGTTGTACAGAATTAAAGTTATTAGCGCTCTTTGAATTTTTGTTTGTATTATCGGAGTCTCTAAAATCCATGTTTTCTTCTTTTCTTTCGAGAGATATATTGTTTATCTCTGACTGTAGTGCTAAAACATGTTGTCCTTGGGCATTTATTATCAATACAAATTTGTTTTCCTCATTATCGACGGCGTTCGTCGTCGATTGATTTTCTTGAAGGATATTGGTTTGTGGTCTAATTGCTTTTTCGTCGGCATCTTGTGTAATCTTATCAAACTGCTGGGTGCCACTTGACGTTTGTGCAGGACATTTATGAGTTCTTTGACTCACCTGTAAACGTAATTCATATGTGGAAATTATTAAAAGGTAAAAATATATGATTGGAATATTTTACAATTACTTTCTACCTTGTATCGAAAGCTTTTGCCACACATTGTGCATTTATAAGGCATCACTCCTGTGTGAATTCGACGATGGACTAAGTACGAAACACGTTGACGAAAACATTTTCCTGCAGAAATTAGTATGGCATTGTAGGAGAATTTCTCTCTCTCTCTCTCTCTCTCATTATTATCATATTATATAGCCTATACATTCACAAAAGAAATGTGCAACACTTTTCATGGGAATTACCTGCTTTTACTAATCACATCATGCACAGCACATCATAATGTTACAGACACTACACAAACAAAATAACAGTGATGTTAATTATTAGTTAATAACAAACAATGTGAGCGATAAATTGTTAATATCGCACTAACTCATATTTAATGATCATTTTCCTATAACATACCACATGTTTCACATGCAAATGGCTTCTCTCCAGTGTGAATCCTTTCATGATTGTGTAATGTTGAAAGTTCTTTAAATGATCTACCACATGTTGCACAGCTATGAGGTTTTTCATCCTTATGATAAAATCTATGCTTATGATATGATTGCTGAAAGGTGAAACTCTTGTCACATATTTTACATTTATATGGCATTTCACCTGAGTGTAAGCGTTTGTGTTTTTTTAGAAAATACTTTGTCGTAAATAATTTACTGCAAGTATCACATTCCCACTGTTTGCTTTCGTGGGTTTTCATATGTTGTATCACATGTTGCTCCTGAAATAAGAACATAAATGAGATTATTAAGAGCAGTTTGTATAAAAATTGTGTTATAAACAAAAGAGAACAATATCCTTACTTTCTTAAATCTTTTTCCACATGTAGGACAAGTGTATCCAGTATCACTGGATGTAAGTTCGATTTGGCCATCTTTAGGAAAAGAACCTGTTACATATGAATAATGCGAAATTTGTTGTGTTTGCGTTTATTTACATATTATTACATTAAATAATTAATTAAATAAATCGTATATAATTTTACAATTACTTGCCTAAATTGTGTCCAAAATGTGCTACTCTCATATGTACCATTAAACTACCCCTCATTTTGAATACCTTAGAGCACAAATGACATGAATAATTTTTAAGAACTTTCCCAGAGATATTATTTAAATTTTGCTCGTGCACTAATTGTTTGTGTAAGGCCAAAATGTTAGTGTCGGGAAAGTGAAAACCACATATGTTACATCGTTCCATCTTTTCTTTCGATGTTATAGTTTGGAAAACTTTATTACATGTGTGGGATAACATTTTTCTATGTTCTAAGTTTTGATCTTGATATTCAGCATTTGTCTCAAGCATAGTCTCTCTTGTGTTAGATGAACTTTCTTTGTCATTACATTTTTCTGATGATGCATTTGCACAAACTGGCATTATATTCTGAATTGATTGAAACTTTGAGAGATCATTTTCTTTTTCAACTAAACTTATCATCAGTCTTTCCTTTGCGACACATTGGTTATTATTTGTTTCACATTCTCTTTCAGTATCTCGGTAGATGTTGGTATCTGTACTTTCTGTCACTTTTGTCCCAGTGATTAGATCCGATATAGCTTTTTCTGCTTGTGTAGTTTCTGTGATTATATTTAAGTGTTTAATATTGTCATTACAAAAATATTGCGTTGTACAATCTGTTTTTAATACATCTTGTTGCAAATTTATAGTTGGTCTTAGTACTACATTGTGATTTTCGTTTGATTGTGGAAAGATATTTACTTTTATTGCATCATAATTATAATCTGATATGAAACTGTGTTGGTCCGCATTTTTCACTGATAAGTTTTGATTTTGTGTTTGAAGCTGTGAATTTACAATAGAGATATTGTTTTCTGTATTTGCTATACCAGCGTCTGACTGTTCAATGCTATTGTTGTCATTTGTTGTTTGCATTTTGCCTGATTGTTGTATTTTTAATATGTTCCAACCTTGCAGAGCAACATTATGCGCATTATGAACTGCAACTTGCTCATTGGCAGCAACATATTTAGATGAATCTGCTGTATTATTACTCAGATCGATTGTATGACTAAATAAATGTATAGTTAATTTATCAATGCCTAAGATCACTTCATTACAAACAGGGCATATAAGAGGTCGAGTTGCTACACTAACAAGGCCAGCTCGCAATGCATCAAGTGTTAAGAACCCAGGTTGAGAACACAATGGACATGCTAAGAGTCGTGCGCACATTTTGTATTTGTTGATTATACGATTTGTTATATATTGTTTTAATTATATATTATATATATATTTTTCAATCTCTATAAAATGTAATACACATCTTTGCATTTATAATTATGTAGAACACTTTTTGGTTCGAACATCTTCCAATTTTTTTACAAGATAGGTAACCAAATATCGTGATCGTAAAATTCTAATGATAAATAATATGTTTGTGTAATTTAAAAAGTTGACATTGTGTGTAGTTTTATTAAAATTATTGGGGTTATACACTTGAACTTGACCCAGTAATTTACAAAATAGAATTCAGTGATGCATAATCTTTCATCTGAGATATTTTAATAAAATCTTATGAAATATTATAGTAAATTCTGAACACTGACACTATACATAAAATTCTTACACCTCAAGATCTAAATATAGAAAGATGGTTTAAGATATCTGTGCTGAATTCCTATGTATCTTTGTGGAGTGTGTTGATGATCAAGAAGCTATATTTAGAAAACTGGTGGGATATTCAAAAGAATTAATCAGAGTGTATCGAGTCAATATATGTATTAAATACCACTTGTATAACTTGTCAAACTTAAAAATTAGTTATTTTATACAAAAAGAAGTTATCTTAAGTTTACTTTACTTATTACATTTATATGGTGAGCCATCTTTACAGCAATATTCTCTACCTGCAGATAGATTTGTATTTATCCATTCATCTTTGCAATTCTTGATGAAAAGATAAGCCTGTAAAAAAAAAATATGCGTAATATATTGAAATTATATAATTCTGTTTTTATAATAAGAGATCAAGAATTTTATAATAATATCATAATAAAATTAATTTATATGCAACACACCCTTTCTTTGTGACAGTCACGATCTAAAGAAGCACAAAGCATTGTCGAACTGTTTGGTAAATATTTTACTATCTGTAAAAAACAGTTTTAATTAATTATTAGTAATGAATATTTGAGCTTATAGAAAAATTATGTGATGTAGAAATGTTAAACAATATTTTAAAAACTCACAGCTTCAAGACATTTGCTAGTGCAAAGTTTGTTTCCAAAAGTATTACATGGTACCGAATCGGGATGTTCATGAAGGAATGCAGGATATCCTTTAGGCTGTTCTTTACTTCCTTTTGTAAATTGTCCGCTTAAAAATACAGCACAGACACAGCCAATTCGCTCTTCACTTGGATTTAATGATTTAATATTTGTACCAATACTGTTAATTTCTGCATAAGAATACGACATGCAAAAAGTCATAATCACTAATGCTAAAAACATTTTGACCTGAAATGTAAATTGCTGCAGTTAACAATGCTTTCTTTTCAATCTTATAATTCTACGTTAACTATACTTCAATTTGTTATAATAAATAATTTTGAGATATTATTTAAAAGGATAAAATAAAAAGAGATAATACCTCTAAGTTCTTCCTTCCCCAAGAAAATATCAGGATAATTAAATATCAATCGATGATTTTACTTGTATCCACTATAGAGAGAATTTCACTGTGTGTTACACCTCACAGAACTTCATTCAAATGCGGATAAGACTGAGCCTTAAATCTTATTAAAGTCATTATGTTGCAACAAATATGAGGTCACATAGAATGCTTGCTAAGCAAAACTTCAGATTGCAGACATAGTAAGAATTCCACTTTAATCGTATTATGATTGGAATGTACACAACTGAGTAACAGGCAAATTTGTTTAATGAAGATTTCAATTATAGTCGAATAACAAAATTGTACTCTCATACTGAGAGTTTAAAAAGTAATTTATTGGTAGTGAATTAATAATATAATCAGTTATATAAATATCCATGCTCCTCGTTTACTAAAACATAAATAAAAGATGTTGACAAGAGATATTTATACAAACATCACATTAAAGAATGGAGAATTTTATTAATTCTTAACATTTTTACTGTTTTTGTTATAATGATGACATATTTACAGTATTTTTCTCATAAGTTTTGCTTCTCCTTCCAATACAACTTTATCTCCATTAGCGATACACATATATATACATTTAATAATTTTTCTTACTGATATAATTTTTACTATTACTTCTACAGAGTCTCCAGCATAACATGGTTTAGGGAATGCGAGATTTTGTTCAATAACTATAGTGCCTGCACCAGGTAACTTTGTACCAATTAATCCTGATACTAGGCCATTGAGCAAAGCACCGTGTACAATATTTCTTGCTGATTCAGTATGTATTGGATTATAATCACCTGTTAATTCAGCAAATTTAAGTATGTCGCCATTTGTTACCACTTTGAAAACTGATACTTGATCTCCTTCTCTCAGATTGTTCATTGTTGTATTAGCAAATAATCTTATTTTGGATGAGGTTTTCATAGAATGACTTTTGAGAAATCCAGTAAAGGATTGAATTAGATTCATAATTGTTATTTCTTACGTTTGTAGTCAGAAATATGTAATTCATATAATTATTCTGAATTAATTAAATATGTGGGTAGAAATAGATTTAACCTTAAGTATTTCTTCACTTCTTATGTACAATTTAATTATTTAATTATTCCTAGTTATTGTCCTTTAACTTTATCTTTTCCACTTCACTTGCTTCACAATAATCATTTAGAAATATGATGGCTAAATTTTTAATACGGATATTAGTATCACATGAAAATTCCAACATGCGTTTAATTATTTCGGACGACGTTATTTCATTCCTCGATTCAGGTGTGATCAAAAACATCAAGGTAGAAATTGCCGAGAGCACAATATCTTCATTTTGAGAAGAAAGTAACGATGATACTAACTCAACACCTCGATTGCGTAGGATATAAATCTTATTTATTGCATCTGAAAAAAGAATATTACATGAATAAAATAATGTAATATAATAAGTATTATGTGTGCAACTTTTCTGTTCCATTAAAGATATACTCTTACCTAAACATAAATTGCATATACCACCAATAGCAAAACATACCAATTTTTGATTGTTTTCAGATAAAGTATCAAGAAATATATCAATTATTTGTAATTGTCTCATGTATCCATAATTTATAGGATCATAAGCAAAGTTTGCCAAATTTGCCAGTACTTGCTCCTTTGCGTCTAATAATTCAAAATAAAAAAGAGGATAATAATGATTTAACATTATATTCATCAAAAGATGACTACATTTGTATTATATAATATATTTATATTTTACATATTTTTTCTTACCTTTAGATTTAGTTGTCTTATATTCAATGGCTAAAAGCTTTAAAAAATCATAACGTCCGATACTATTCTTGCCTGTGCGTTGTATTAATCGTTCTTTAGACGAGAACATTGAAGTCTTAATACATGCAATTTATTGTTGCACACAAGTATTCACTTTTAGATCTTCTATTATGGTTAGGTTCTCTCTCTATTATAATATAAACATATGTACATAAGAATACATTTGTCATGAAAATATTTCATACAAAATTACATATATGTAAAAATATATAATTACATAAATACAAAAAGAGATTCGATATATATTGCGAAACAGTAAATAATTTCTGCCATATAGTACTATATGTACAATATTTAAAAATTTTATGATAAACATACATCTCTTTGAAGATTAAACTTTATGCATTTCATACTATTTTTTCTTTGTAAATAATTAAATGCAGTCGTTTTCTAGGATTTGGATTTCGTGTAAATAATATATCACTGTATATCTACATGTGTTTCGTTTGACGCTACGAAAGTTTCGAATCGTTTGATTGGCCAATCAAGTAAAGGAAGTAAAGATTTTTTGCTCCGGTTGGTTAATGAAACACTTCGATCCTTCCCTCACACAAACGGACAATAAAGTTTAATTCGTACTTCTTGCAATTGGGAGCTCAAATATGATTGGTGAATGAATCGAGTGGAATGACATATCGAACATACACACGTGGAACATACTTTCTCTCTATCTTTCTTCGCTGCCGTGTTCTTATCCAAGTAACGTAGGTGGCTACGGTGGTGAAGTGGAAGTTGATGGAAATCATGGTTAACACGTAGCCGGCGTTCGACGTGTCCTAGCCTCCTAGCTTAGGCATTTGGTAGCGATTTGGTAATTTGTTTGCGCGCCGCTTGATTTTCGCAACGTGCACAGGATCGCGAGTATTTATATACACATATGGCGAACGCCACGTTGTGAGTATATTAATATAACGCGAATATATATACTTATATACGCGTATATATCTCATCTCTTTCTCACTAACGCCCGTGGAAATACGCAAAGGCGACAAAACATGCTGCCGAACAAGTCGTCACCGTCTTCGTCGTCGTCGTCGTCGTCCAGCACAGCGAACGCAAAGGTCATGTTTCCCGATAAGAGACCGACGACCAAGCAAATGAAATCGTCCACGCTGACGAATGCCGCTGGCCTCAGTTCTCTCATTACCTTCACCGTTCTCTTGCTCGCCTGGATTTCGGGTTTCGCCTCGCGGCTCTTTGCTGTCATACGTTTCGAGAGTATTATACACGAATTCGATCCGTGGTATGTATTTTATGCCAATTATTTGCCGGTATTTCCTTGTCCTTGTGATTAACGAATTCGCTATTATATCTATCATAGTGTAAAATAATGATAAACTTGTTTTTCTATTATATAATGAAAATGTCCAATAAGTTGACTTGTAATATTTTGTTCTTATCTAGAAACACGGAAGGGAATTTGCATTCTTATTTAAAATCATACATATATGAAAACTTCTTAATGATCAATAATTGAATAACATTGAATAATAATAGCCAGAATAAAATTTTCATTTTATTTCTAATTACTTATTAATTTTATTTTAATGAGCAAAAATAACTTTATTATCAATAAGATGTTCGTACAATTAATTTAGATATATCTGAAATTTAGGTTTAACTACAGAGCGACAGCATACATGGTACAACATGGATTCTACAATTTTTTAAATTGGTTTGACGAACGAGCATGGTATCCATTGGGACGGATTGTTGGTGGAACCGTTTATCCTGGACTCATGATAACATCTGGATCAATACACTACATCCTGCACTCTTTAAACATACCAGTGCATATAAGAGACATATGTGTATTCTTAGCTCCAATTTTTAGTGGCCTTACTGCCATATCTACATATTTATTAACAAAGGAAATATGGAGTGCTGGAGCTGGCTTATTCGCTGCTTGCTTCATCGCCATTGTACCTGGCTATATCTCGAGATCCGTAGCTGGCAGTTACGACAACGAGGGGATTGCAATTTTTGCATTGCAAATCACCTATTATCTCTGGGTTAAGTCTGTCAAAACTGGTTCAATCTTTTGGGCGAGCATAACTGCCCTGTCTTATTTCTACATGGTATCAGCATGGGGAGGCTATGTGTTCATTATTAATCTCATTCCACTGCATGTATTTGCCTTGCTGGTCATGAATCGCTTTAGCAATCGGTTATTCACCAGTTATACAACATTTTACGTTCTTGGACTTTTACTGAGTATGCAAGTACCATTCGTCGGTTTTCAACCGATTAGAACTTCTGAACATATGGCAGCAGGTGGTGTATTCGGTCTCCTAATCTTTATAGCAGCTCTTAGGTATGTATTATTTTAATTTATAACATTGGTTTGTTAATTATTACATTATTTGAAACTATTTATTTATTTGGGGGAAACACTCCCTACAATATATATTGTAATATACTAATGTTGATCTCTTTGATTCCAGATACTTAAGAACTGTACTTACCAAGTCCGAGATGAAATATTTTGGTGGTGTAGTAGCTGTAACAGCGACTATACTCCTGTTAATTCTGATTGCATTAACGTATGCTGGTATTGTCGCTCCTTGGAGTGGTAGATTTTATTCGCTTTGGGATACTGGTTATGCCAAAATACATATCCCTATAATAGCATCTGTATCTGAACATCAACCGACAACTTGGTTCAGCTTTTTCTTTGACTTGCACATTCTTGTCACAACATTCCCGGTTGGTCTGTGGTACTGCATTAAGCACATAAATGACGAACGTGTCTTTGGTAAGAAATTGTGATGAGAATATTATATTTTAAGAGATATAATTGAAGATAAATAATATTCAATTTTTTTACAGTCATACTATATGCCATAAGTGCCGTTTATTTCGCTGGAGTGATGGTGAGACTTATGTTGACTTTGACTCCAGTAGTATGTATGCTGGCTGGTGTTGCTATCAGCAGACTCGTAGAATTATATCTCAAAGAGGAAGACAGGGACGATCGTAATGGTACCGAAAGCAATGAGGAGAGTGAAGAGGAAAGAGAGAGAAGTCCCGGTAGAGCGTTGTACGATAAAGCCGGTAAATTACGTAGAATGAAGCATGAGAGACCGAAAGGTAGCGGCGACGGATTAGGCGCCAATCTACGTAACGGCGTTATTATCGGCATGTTAATGTTATTGATGATGTTTACTGTGCACTGCACATGGGTGACCAGCAATGCATATTCTAGTCCATCTATCGTTTTGGCTTCCTATAGTAACGATGGTGGCAGAGCCATACTCGATGATTTTCGAGAAGCTTACTACTGGTTAGCTCAAAATACGCCCAATGACGCGAGAGTTATGAGTTGGTGGGATTATGGATACCAGATTGCTGGTATGGCAAATAGGTATACAACACATTTATAAAATTATATATATTTAAATTAACATGTAAGATCAATCATTAATATAACACACATTACCATGTATAAATTTTTTTCGTAGAACTACACTCGTGGACAATAATACATGGAATAATTCGCACATAGCTCTGGTTGGTAAAGCGATGAGCTCGAATGAAAGTGCTGCTTATGAAATTATGACATCTTTAGATGTAGACTATGTGTTGATCATTTTTGGTGGTATGATTGGATACTCCGGTGATGACATTAATAAATTTTTATGGATGGTCCGAATCGCCGAAGGCGAACATCCCCAAGATATTCGCGAGAGTGATTACTTCACCGAGAAAGGAGATTTCCGCGTGGACAAAGAAGGTTCTCCTACTCTATTGAACTCGCTAATGTACAAGTTGAGTTACTATCGGTTTGGAGATGTTAAAATAGACTATCGAACGCCTACCGGTTTTGATCGTACTCGTAACGTCGAAATAGGCAATAAAAATTTCCAGTTAACATATCTGGAAGAAGCTTACACTACTGAACATTGGCTTGTCAGGGTTTACAGGTAAATAATAATATTTACAATCGCTTTGATTTATAATTTATCTTAAAGTATTATCTTACATCTTTAAAAAATTTCTACATTAATATCAATTGCAAAATATGTCTATAGGGTGAAAAAACCAGCAGAATTTAATAGACCAAGTATTCCGATTTCTAAACGGATTATTACGCGTCGCGCAAATGCGTATATTAGTAAAAAGGTTGGTATTCTTTTCTCTTATCTCGTAGCATAAGGAAAAATAGATTTTTTATATATATATATATATATATCTCATCTTGTGGTTTCTCGTATCGTTTTGCCATTTTCATCGTCATACATCAGTTGATTTGGAAACGTAGTTGAAGTTATGGGGGGTCGGGCATTGATGTTTCAGACTGCACGGCGTAGGCGAGGTTTCATAAAAGGCCGGCCAGTTGTTATTAAAGGACAGAAACCTCAACGACGAACGACGTAACGAAGATTCGCTGACTATTTCGTAACAGTTTGCAAATACAACTTTTGTAATAAAAGAATTACCGTCCCTTGGGTCTACCACAAACCATACCTCGAACTAAGAATTTAATATCGTCAAAAGAGAATTCAACCAGTTTGCAAAAAATAGAATACTTCAAACATATAGTTTCTAACACTCAGAATACTTTGAAAAATTGATAGCTTTACGAATATTATTTTTGTAAGCCTTGTTTTCATCATATTGGCTTATATCACATTGTGTTGCATTGTTATCTGATTCATTTTTTACAAGAAGTCGTTAATCATTTGTTATTGCATAATTATTTGCTAGTATATAAACCTTTAAAATAATCTTATAAATAATATAAATCTTTAAAATTTATTTTCTATAATTAAGTCAATATTTATATGAATACATTCATTTAGAACAGATCATTTTTAGTAATATTTTTTTGCATTCTAGAGACAAATTGATTTTTTGTTTAATTCTTTTTTTATGAGTTAATTGTATTTTAAAGTCAATTTAAAAAACTCATCAAATTCATTCATCTGTTATCAAACAATTGTAACAAAATCTTGTGTAAATTGAGACTTGTAAGACATCTTATAGTTAGTCTACACATATTTATGTTACATAGTGTATTTATGCATATGATATATCGGACGAAATTTGTCAAATAAGCAGACTTGCCAATTTTCAGCCGGAACAGAACGATTGAGTGTGTCATGTGTACACAGTTTGTTGTATAGCACCTTGTTGAAAGATAAACATTTGTGATAACACAGTGTTGTTTACAAATATGCATTTAAAACAAAAGCCTGTTTAATTTTTGTTTTACTTAAAAATAAAATAAGTAATATATTGCATTATATATATAAATTTTATATAATTTTATAAATTTTTTATGATACAATGCAAAAAACAATATTCTAATATATTACAAAATACATTACAACTTGATTTTTTTTTATGTAACTTATTAATTTTGATAAATACTACAAATAATAATTGTGTATATAATAGACAAAAAAACATTATAATTGGCAATATAAAATTTCTTATATTATCAACAAGTGAAGACATACACATATTGGACTTTTCTAATAACATGATAGGTTATATAGCTTTTTAAACACCAAAATTAATTGATATATGATAAAAATTTCATCAAACTTCAAAATATTTAATTTTATTCGTCGAATTTATCTTTATTTAAATTATTAGTCTTATTAGATTTATATATTTTTTTTTTTTTTGCATATATTAGTTTTATAATAATCTGTAATCTTGTAAATTGTATAAAAATTTAAAGCAATTTATACTTTTATAATAATCATATATTTCTTATATGATAGATGCTCACAAGAAAAATCTGGAATGATTATTATATTTAAACGTGAATCGTGAAAAAATCCAATAGTCGAATCGCTTTTTTGCCAATGCAAATTGCGGAAAAAATAATTTTTTGAAAGAAGTACACATACACAAATTCTTTACGCAATGAATATGTGATATAACACACGTACATTTTATAACAATTTAAATACTTCAATTAGCGATATTTATATATTAATTATTTGTATAAAATTAGTAGATATGAGGTTGCAAAATCGTTATATAGTCGTAATTTTTTTTTTTAATAGATTTCTCAATCTAGCTATGGTTATTTGGCATAAAACAATTAATGTTTTTTCTCAAATCCGGAAAATTTGAGAAAATTTGATAATTCGACGATAGCGCGTAGTTTTCGGTATCTTCTCGCGAATATAATCAAAATGTATAAAATAATACCAACAGTTGGATAACACGCGCGCGCATTTCGTAGTTTCATTATCAATTAATTGTTATGTTATTACGCTATTTTGCGCAAACTATGCTGAAACGAATGAAAAGTTTGAGTTAGACGTAGTTGTAGGATAATATAATGAATCCGATCAATTGCTATCGATACACAAACAATCTCTTTGTATGTATGTTTTCCTAGCCGCTCGTATTTTATCGTACGCGTGGATATGAAAAAAAATCGCGCACGTCAATCGGTGTATATATAGGTTATGTTATGTTAATCTGTAAAGTGCGGAAAACGATCCCTTCTCGCTGCCGTCACGCGTACAGCAGGCCTTTGTTTGTCATACATTCCGCGCTCATAGCATCATCAAAAATTAATCGACTTTCCGTGCGACGTGGGAAACAGTAGAATCGCCGAATCCGCAGCGATACAGTCGCGAATTCAGGGACTTTTCAGCTTCCGGGAAGAGCTGCTCGTGTGCACCCCGGCCGCCATTTTGCTTCCCCCGCACGTCTGACATGTCTTTCTAATGTTATTATCGATGAATGTTGAAATTTTTGCGTGAAACTATTTCGTACTTTATTGTCCGAGGAGAGAGAGTTTCTCTCGAGAAAAAAAAAGATCGTGCCGCGCGTGCCTGATCGGCGAGACATCTTTATCGGGAACGATTTCCGTTGTCGTCCCAACCTCAGTCCACCACGGAACTGATACAGGTGTAGTCTCGCGATAACGATCATCGCGAGCGATTGAATCTGTCGCCGAGCGCGAATATGCTGGGAGACTCGTACGAGGGATACTTCTGTCCACGTCGCTGAAGGACTGGGTTGTATCCTGCGCTTGTAACAGTGTACTGTTGTCGATGTAACGAGCTAACCTAACCAAAAAAAAACGCATCGTTGATCAAAGCGACGTCGCGTGTATATGTGCTTATGTCAACAGTGAAGAAATCTCGCTCGATGATATGGCTCCGGTCACGCGTCTGAGATCGTCGAAAGGCAGAGATCTGGCAGTATTCACCGTCCCGACGTCTGCCCGATGCGCGACGCAGTTGCTCAAGCATGCTTAGGGCATGTTGGATGTAGACTACTACTACTATGAGAGGCAAGGATTGTTTTTATCCTGATCTAGCAATGGACTAAGTTCACGCTTACTGCTCGAACCAGGAAACTTTCATTCGCAATCGCATATACGCGATACGCAGACCTGAGTTTATAGTGACGTATAGCTTTAAAGCAATGTTGATATGTATACACGCTTACAATTGAAGTATTATCTTATACTTTGTAAGCATACATTAAGTTATTATCGCTATATTGCAAATTGACATGTTTGTTTCGCAAATCTTCTGTTTAGTTTAATTAATGCAAATTCCATGACTTGTTTAATTATAGATATAAATATATATAGGGGAATAATATATTAGATATATAATGCATTGATATACTCAAGTGTGACTGAGGTATCGCGCAATTAGTTTTTAATTTATTGAATCTTATAGTAACTTTTTGCTGTAAGTTATTATTCGAGCAAATAATAATACAAGCAAACAATAATAATAATTTGATTTTTTTACTTGGTCAATATAACAACAAATATCTGTGATACAATATAATAAAACATATTTTTTAATTTTTTACGTACATACTCAGTATTATACTTTTAATTAATAATATAACTTGTATTATACTTGGATCTTGGCATATAGCGTGAACTAAGTTTTATCTAGATAGGAAGAAAGTTGATTTGGAGAGTTTAAGAATGCAGGTGGAACAGATCTGGACAGTAGCAGCAATCAATGAAGGTCCCTATTTCCGAAAACTCAAACATGGACAATAAATTGAAGTTTTCGGACCGCTTGAAGGCTTTGCTGAAAACTGAGGCTCATCAAGATGTTGATCCGTACATTTTTAGTGAACCAGAACCATTTGCCGCGGGAAGAAATACCGCCACAGTGGTTCCATCTACAAATTCTGAAGTAATGCAAAGTTGTAAAAACAATAAGTCGAAAGGGAAATGCGTGAAGCAGAGAATAAGGATAGCGCCTGTACAAAACACAGGCTATAAGACCATTGGAGTTAATGCTACGACGGAAACAAATATTGAAGCTGGTATTAGGGAGAATTTGGATCAGAAATTTTCTAATGTAGTTCAACATAAACAGCGACATATTGAAAATGTGCAAAGATTAAAATCTAGAAAGCAAAGTCGGGACCATACTCTGTTGTACTATCCTAAAGCTGGGGATGAGATATTCGATAGCGATTCGAGCGAAGATGAGATGACAATCTATCAGCGTCATTGGTTCTCCGGCGAATCCGTTACAACACTAAATCGTGCAGCCCGGTTGTCTCAACTACGTTCGCAATTACAACGACAATTACTTCAATTACGTATTAATGGAACTGATACTGAAACTGTGCTACGGCAAAGGGTTCGATGTTTATTGGAGGCTGCTTTCGTAGATCCTGCTTCTACCGCGAGAGCATTGAGCGAATCTCCAAGTAAGAGTAAGGCGCTCGATGGACCGTTGTTAGTTGGTGGACTATGCGGAGCGGAAGGGTGTCAACAGACATCTTTGCCTTGTACCCGGCATTGTTCCCGCCATATTATGTTAAATGGAGATCAGCTTTTATTTGAGCATTGCACTGCCAAATTTAGTGACAACACACAGTGTTGTGTTCCTGTGTTTGATGTCGCGCACGAATTACCTCTTTGCCCAGAACACGCAAGAAAGAGAGACAATTATCACCGTAAAATCCAAGAGTCTAAACCAAAGAAAGCCCGTAAAAAGCCAGCTTCCCCCACCATCCCAGCAAGGCCTAAACCTAAATCTAAGCCGAAGAAACGCAAACGGCCGCCCTCGAACAAACTAGAGACTAAGGGAGCCGCATTGATGCACGAGGAGAATCATTACATGAGCCAAATAAATTGTAGTGAAAATCATACCAAGACGTTAAATAACTTGAATGTTCCGCAAGGAAGTTCAAATTCGTCTAACTTAAATCTAGGATTGGGATTAGGCTCTCTTGGGGGATTGAGTGGAGGCCTTAAAGTCGAACTTGGAGATAACGAAGTATTCGCTTCTTTGGATTCTGCTGAACATGACTTTGGCACTGTGCTCAATAACTTGCCCCCAGATGCTTTCAACGACTTGTTTATTGGTAATTATATAATTATATATCTCTATTCTCTATACTTTGTAAATTTCAAGAGATTAGAGGATTTATTACATTTCTTTTCATAAAATAGTAGAGATGATTGCAAGATGTTTTAATTTGTAGAGGGTAGGAATGGAGATTATGAACCATCTAGAGAAGAAGAGGAGGAATTACAACGGGCTTTGGAAGAGGTTGATAAAGATGTACGAAATTTGGAGAGAATGGGGCAAACGCATGGACTTTTAGAGCCGGCTTTGCTCGCTCAGCTTATGTCGGATATTGCCTCGTAGCCCCACTAATTCTAATGTAATAATTTTTGAAAATAAGTTCGCGTGTGTTCCTTGTAACGTAGAAAAGAAGTACTGTTTGTGTCTGTGCTGCTAAACGTAAGATTGCGTTATAGACTGTTATTACATAGCCACGCAAGTCCGAGATAATGGCAGGGATTGACATACAGAAAGTAACAAAAAAAGGAGAAAAAAAACGATAGCAAACTTATAAATTTAGTATAAACAACATATTGGGTACAATACCACGGGTAGATTTATGTCGAATGAGTAGTAATGTAAAAACCAAGAATTCCATCCTTTTTGACAAATAATCGCGGACATTTTACGTCATCATCATAATACCTGCAATATATTTGTAGCTTATTTGCAGATACTTTAACTTGCACTTTAAAAATTTGCTTAGAAAAATTGTTGTAGCTGTAATTACTACTTATAATACTTGCAATCATTTTTGAGAGTACAGAGTGTATGAAAAGAAGAGAAGAAAATAGACAAATGTCATATAAATGGTTCAGAATAGATTCCAACACACATGAACTAAACAAGAAAAATACATAGTTATCATTTTTATATACAGTTTATTTTTACTAAAACAAAGAGCAGAATTATCTAAATTATCTTACTAATAGCTCCCATATTTATTGAACTACATATAATGTCTAGCTAATTATTAATTACTCGAATAATAGGTACAAAGGTATTTTTATGACTGATTTGTAATGATTTTATCTGTTATTGATTATACTATGCTACAATTGTGAAAAAAATATTTTGGTTTACAAACCGCATATCTGTGGTTTATCACAGAATTTAGCTATCAATTAAATAAAATTGGACACACAAATAATGTAATAAATGAAGAAGAAATATTTGGTGTTTATATATAACATTGTATATATATATATATATATCATTTTATTATTACAGCAAATAGTCTCGTAATAGAGTTGTGCATTAATTAACAGAATGTGAAAATTGGGATTTGCATTATTTTCTTAATAATGGAGATTTGCAGCTAATGTGGAAAAATTGATGATTCTCGATCTGGAATATCTTATGCAGATATCATATATTGAGACTATATATCCGAATTTGATTTAAATAAAATATATTTAAATACATTTTTTCACACACAATTTAAAATTCTCATAAAACTGTGTGCATAGAATATTTATACAAACACACGACTGAATTTATAAGAAAAATATACATATGTCTACATAAATATATATATATAATATAAACATACATATATATATGTATATAAACATACAAATAATTACATGTTCTTTTTTTATTATTTGATCACTGCAGTAGCATAACTAAATAACCACATTAAATATGATTATTGAATCATGTTCTATATATAATGATATGTGCATAATCAATATTATCGCTCTCTCTTTGTCCATATTCTGTATTATATTCATGTAGACAAATGTTCAATGAATGAATAACTGTACTATTTAAGTGAGATGCAAACTAGCGAAAAGTGCCGAAAAAATTTCATTTTTCAACATTGTTAATTGTGCGACACGTGCTTTGCAGCCTTAATGAAAAAATGATACGCTATGTAAAGTATTAGCTGAGTAAAGGAAATATTGTGATCACACGTATATTTCAAAGAAATACTTTTCAGAATAATTGTTTGAGGAGAGAATTTTTTACGAGATATAGAGGCACAGATTCTGAAAGTAAAACTAGATTGGTGTGAAACGTCGCGTTGGATGGCTGAATCATTTACTGCCATTTGACTTCTAAAGTATCGCATGTGCATAGCAGTAAATTGTTATAACTCCGTACATAATAGTAGTAATATAAAATGGACAAAATGCGCATACATATAATATGGATAATCATAACTTTAATACATATCGTAAAGCGTGAAAAAAGACGACGAGATACTCTGAGTGTCGTGTATTACGAAAGTTAGCTATCATTAAAATAAAAAACTATGAAAAGCATTTGTTATACGCGAATATGTGTGTGCAATAACAAACAGATAGAATTTTTGAAATCTAGTTTTTATTATCAAAATCGCTGTGCCAAATAATGAGATATAATATCTCTTTTCTTTTTTTTTTTATGTTACGATAATGTGTGTCACTTATTCAAACGAAACGGGTCGTATAGGAGCAAAGCGTACTTCAAATGATGACTATTCAGCTGAATATCAGCGATTATATAAAAGGCGCGAAAAACAAGTTTATCACATGTAAATGCAAATGGAAACAAAATAATTTACAGGTCGATCTGGGGAGGATTAAATTAATGTCGTATATAGTGTATTGTTACTACATATATTGGTAGTAAGTAGACATACCAATAATTATTTATGGACAAAGGACAATGCCGAATTTAATCGTAACATAAGTGCATTGCTTAAGATGTATATGTGTATCTTCTTGTAAAATAGCAGCATTACTCTTGATTAGGTATCACTAATTATATTAAGCATATTTTTTATATTGTGTTAGTACTCAGTTTATATCCATCCTCATTGTTCATATCCTAACGATAAAATATCGATTTATTGTTACTTGAAATAGCCAGATTTTTATTTTCAGCATAGCATTCTTGTATCGAAAGAGATAATGTAGCAAGCAGTGTATATGTATAAATGTATAATTAATTTTATTTTAGAATCGATATTCAAGTTTATATTTATGTATATCAATATTAGTACCATTTTTTTATTTTTTTCTCCGAAATTCTCGGCACATTCTACATGTAGTATTATTTTCTGTTCTGTGGCAATATGTTCTATTCTGATACTCAATCTATAGTGGTTGCTATAGAATAAGTATCAGGCGTTTTACGTTCGCGTCGTTTTATTTCTCGAAGAATCCACTTTTTTCGGGCTATTTGACGAATCTTGTCATATATCTCTGTTGATATCTCAAGTTTTTTCATTGGAAGTTCCTCGATTGATACAGACTCGCGGAAAGACAATCTTTCAATTTTTTGAATTTGTTCCTTTGAAGGAGAGATTTACAATTTTTCTGTATATCCAGTTAAGATTTTCATATTTCTGTATACATCAGAATGATAAGACTTACAGCGAGTTTAGCCATAGGGACACTTTTTCGCATTTCCAATATTTTCTTATCGAGCGCATCAATTTCTATTGGTTCTATTTTCGGCTCCTTCTCTTCGTACGGCATCAACATTATATCATATTCCGAACGATTCTGACCCAGGATGCCTACTTTAATGTCCATTAGAGGTAGCATTTCCTCCTCGATAAGAAGAGCATTTTTTAAATAAGCAATTTTCGGATCGCGCACGTCAATGTCAAGTATTCCTTTAAATAGAAATATAACGATATAATTATTTTTGCTACAAAGTATAGCTATCAACTTTTTATAACATAAAAAAATATATATATTATAGTTTAATAATAGACTAAATACAGTAGAGCGCAACACCTAATGATAGGAGACGATAATCGCAATCCGTATATATCAATTCGTGAGGTAAAGGAGAATTTCGGAGTAATCGACTTTTTAATGCAATTTTATATGAGCCATGCAATATACGAATATCATCCTCTAGCATATCCTGAATAAGTCGACTACCGCTTTGCCTTTGTGCAGTATTGTACGCTTCGGTTCGAAGTAGTCTATGCAATTCTAGTTCTGCAAAAAATATATATCGCTGCAATAATTACTTTTCAAAATATAATTATAGATATTATATTAAGATATCTGACAGATTATATATATGTATATGTGATGAATAATCAGAAATTCATCAGATATCTCACCGATCAAATTGTAATGTTTGCGTTGCAACGCTATCCATACGACTCGATGGGCCGTGCTTATCAAAGATTCGAAGATCCTTAAATCTTTCTCGCCCTGCGATTGCGTGATCGTCCGTTTCTTGCCAGCCATCATATGATGATACTGCGGCCCGCTCTGGCAACCCAATATTAAATCCGCATATTCTCTACCTAAGACACAGCGAAGGGCTCGCAACTCCTCAGCGTATCGGGATCTATGTCCACGCGCTAATGGATTCGGCGCCTTTTTCATGGTAGCGGCCCGCTCCTGCATCAAGTCTTCCCATATCTCTACATAATGTTGGAAATAGATGATCAACGCCCTTAAAAATCGATCAACGATCGCCAAGTGGAAGAAGTGTATGAATTGGGGACTGACGGGTGTTATGAGTAAAAAGAGTACGAGATCTTTGATATCTTGCAAAATAATAACATCCGGTTCGTTTGGCATCACTTTTCTCAGGTAATGTTTCCGAAATTTAATCTGTAAATGAATATGATATTAATGAGTAAAAAATTCTTTCGATTTTAGTAAAATATTTAAGACACATCTCAGCCTGCTGTATTGCTTGATTTTCACCTTTTCACTATCATTCAACATTTCCCGATAGTTCAGAATTAAATACGCATGTGGACAATAAATTTTCGACGCATGATCGGCAATAGCTTGCTTCTTCCGTCTCTTAATTTCATCTTCTGTCTTTGCCACTCTAATCAATATAATATAATTAGAATTTGCATGGATGAAAAAATTCGCTGATACTTATTTAATATTAATATCGATCTACAGCATTTTAAAGTTAATTAAATCAGCAATTATGTGAACACAGTGCATGAAAAACTGCAATAAAAATTCATTGAAAAATATATAAGTAAAAAAATATATACTTATAACATAAGTTGTGCAATATTATATTCTATGACAAATAAATATTATAGTTTAAAAATTAGAGCAAAAAACATGATCTAATGAACTTATGGGAAAAAAATTAACGTCTTAAGTATATAACAAAGTAAATTCTGTGTCACATTTAAAGAGTGTTTTAAATAATACCATTACCCCAATAAAATTAATCCCTCCGAAATTTCATCCCATGCAAAGTATCTTTCACTCATATCTGGATATCATATTATGAAAATACTCTACAACTTCCTTTACAATATTTTATAATAGATTTTCAGGTTATCAGTTTCTAGAAATTGACATGTTCTCCTCCTAATCTAGTGAAGGTATAACAAAGTCGAATTATTGATTCTAGGAAAAGATAGATATATATATATGTAACTACGTACATACGTACATACTTTAAGCATTATAGTATTCAAAAATTGGAATGATTAGATTTTTTTATACATGATTTAATTAAAGTTTTCATCAAATTATACAAGAATGTATTATTATAGACACAAAATAATATTACACAATGTGTGAGATTCATGCAGAATTCAAGATATATCTAAATTAAGATTCTAAGGAAATATATTTATACATATTCTTCGTGTTGAACATTATTTATTTATATTATTACAATTTGCATTATAATATTTAAACACTTTTCTCTGTTTTGTCCTCTCTTTTTTTGTAGAAAGGAAGAGAGTCTAAAACTGGTTTGTCCTCGGGAAATATTGGCTCGGCCGGTAGTTTCCAAAAATCGTTAACAAAAATTTGTCTAGCTATATCACTCGTCCAATGATGCACAGAACATCTCACCTTCACCTGCTCGCGATTATTAATTGTGATAGTTATATAAAATTCCTTTCCTTCTATATCCAGATTTGGTCCAGATATTGGTTTTTGGGGCATCGTTATAGTGTCTTCAGGCATAAAAATACCGACTTTGCGAAAACTTGCTCTTATATGCCATTTTTCCAATGTCCATGGTACATCTTTCGACATTACAATCGATATCCTCTTTGGTGATAGATATTTAATTGTTCTCTCTACAGAGGCAGAACTAAATGGTGTTTTGTCCTGTTGATCCACTGCTAATTTCGTATATTTTTCAATATTCTCGGGGGTAGCGTAATCTGCTAATTTTGGTAATAAAAGCATTGGGTATGCCTTATTTGGATGCATTGACACTCTAGTGCCTGCATTACCAAGTCCTGCGACATATTGAGTTAGAATCAAATCAAGCGGTTCCTTCCTCTTTGTATTTGTATCTTCAACAAGTTCATAAATAAAATGTCTGTTTTTCAAGCGATGCGGTTTGGCTTTTGTTTTATGAAGAGAAACTTCAGTTCTTCTTTTAAGAATGAAAGTATTCTGTAAGAATATACAAATAGTATAAAAATATAGATTTTATACAAGCTGTACATGCAAAAATTTATTAAATCGATCTATTATCTATTATCTCATAATTCATAAAATATATATGTATATAGAGTATGTGTATATAAACTATATTATGTATTTATAATATTTAAAAGAAAATTACCCGTGTTTGTTGTGACAAATAATCTGTTTTGCTCAGTAAAGTAGGCGTTGCCAACGCTTTTACATGATTCATAAGTAATTTCGGAAATTTCAACATATTTATATTCTTCCACTTATTAAAATATTCCAAATAATAAGAAAGTTCTTTCAATAATATATAGCAATGGATGAAATGGTTAAGGCTCCTGAGGGTGTGTTCTGATATACACTGCCAGTACTGGCAGTGCTGAAAAATTGTTCCGCTATTAGCACGCAGTGTGCTGCGACAGCATCTAGTTCCATCAATGACGTCATAAATGGTAGCCATATTGCTACTGCGGTTACTGCAGCTCCCAAGATGAAGCAGTTACAGTGCAACATGGCGTCATGCAATAAAATAGAATTGTTAGATGTAATGTTATATTCTTCTTCTTCGGAAGAACTATCACTGCTTTCATTTAAAATTTCTAATGCTATTAAGCAAATTGATAATTTACGATGCTTGTCCATGTTTGTTATAAAGTTAATTTAACCAACTTTTTTTTTTTTTAATTTGCACTTTCAAAAGACAATTTTCTTTTAATTTACTCACAAAACTGGGCATAATTTTAATTCAACTTAAAATCTTATTATTTTATACATCTACCCGATATAAAACGAAGCAAATAAAACGCCACTATTTGAACATAGTTATAATTTAATACAAAATTACAACAAGTAATTACAAGTATCATCCGAATAGTTGTAACCGATTTGTAGAGAGTGTTGATGATAGTGATAACAAGGATGAATAAAAGTTTTGACACATTTGTTTGTAATTTTGTATTAAATAATAACTATGTTCAAATAATGGCGTTTTATTTGCTTCATTTTATATCGAATAGAATGCATAAAATAATAAGGTTGTAAGTTTAACAAAAGTTTCGTGAGTAAATTAAAAGAAAATTGCCTTCCGAAAGGGCAAATTAAAAAAAAAAAGTTAGTTAAATTAATTTTATTTTACATGAATAAATATTTGTTGCTAGATTGTATAAAAAAAGAATGAGAAAAAGAGTGGCAGGGACAAGAATTGAACCCGGGTTGGATGCGTGATAGTCACGCGCTTAATGCCCGAGCTACACTGCCTTTTCGATAATTGATATAACGGAGCCAGATATAAGGAAAGCCATATTGTTTAAATCATTTTCTTGGAAATGGTTGAGCATTGCATCTTATTCCTTTGCTCAAATATTCTTCTAATAGAGTACTACACTATAAAAGCCATTTTTAATTCGGTGACCCCAAGATCATGCCGTCCCCTGTTAGTCTCAGGAACTCACCCTTGATCACAAGCGGCCAGATAAATTGAAAGAAGAAGAAGAATTATGGTAAGTCGTTGGACAGGGTTCTTATTCCTACCGCAATATCTTTATTCTCATGTCGCTACCGTCAACTCAAAGTTTCACGGCGACTACTCAGGAGCCTTAATTAGATAGGGTTAATTTGACAAGAAAAGAATATACTAATTATTTTACACTTGTAGCTATATTATCTAATTAGTTTAGAATCTAATTTTACGGTTTAAATAGAATTGTAAATAAAAATTTATTTTTAAGTGTTCACTATATGCAGTTCGCTGTATGCAGTACGTGCGGTAACCTAATATCAAGATTATCTTTAAGGGTGTATTCAAAAATTCTTCTCATGGAGTAGAATATTTTATTGACCAATCAGGAGCAAAGATTTCTTTGTCGCTACTTTACCCTACGAGCAGTGATGCGCTGCCGTGGGATTTTTTTCCATGTGGGAATTACCGTGCGCATGCGTAAGCTGACGTCACAGCTATACGTCACGCGTTACCACAGATGTATCTAGCTGCAACGTTAGGTGCGTATAAGGGTTTTCGCGTAGTTTTCCCGCGTCTTTTTAGTAATGAAGTGATAACGCGTGTAGTGTGTCGTATTATCTTTAATAGAAACATTCTTTGCAACATTCTTTGATAGAAACATTCCTTGCAAATTCCTTCATATTTTTTTTCTCGCTGGGGGGTACCTAACGATACCTCATATTTGATTGAAGTATATACATTAGTGAGGATACGTAGCGCTTGCTTAGTGCGCATGCGCGACTTTATTCCCACGACAGCGTATCACTGCCTACGAGTAGGATTTTCGAACGCACCCTAACCAGGATGTAAACATGGGAGTAATTTAACAGAGTCCATGCGTATACTTAATTTAAAATTGGATTTTAAAAAGTATCACGCAATTTAAAAGTCTAAGATTGTAAAAAAAGTGATTAAACCTAATATTTATATCATATTGTTAATTTAATATGGATGGTCATTCACTACCGTCGGTAGAAATTTTGAAGTGTGCTTTACCAAAACTTCAAAAACCTATATTGTTTCGGAATATGCTGCGAAATTTCGATGGTTCATATGAATGGAAATTGCTCAATTGGAGTTTTTCAGATCTCGTTGAAAAATTTGAAGACAAACAATTACCGTTTCGAGTTGGCGATTATAATAAGTGTATGGTGAGTTACATACATATATACATATATATATGTATTGCAATAATGTATCCATTTTCATTCAATTTTATTTTATTTTATTTATATTTTTCGTATTTATTCTTTTGATGATTTTATTAAGAGTTTAATAGAAAATATGACTAATGGTTTTATTTTCAATCTATTTTTATCAGTATACTCTTCAGCATCATCGTCGACGCATAAGTCCTCCTACAAAACTTTGTAAATTGACACTGCGAGAGTTTTTTATAGCAACAGGTGATACGACAAAAGAAGGATATGATAAGTGGCTTTACTGTGACTACAAGCATATGAAGGAATTTAGTGATAAACCAGAAATTATCGAGTCTTTTAATTGGCTTAAGTTCGGTGTTGATAAAGAATTTGGAGAAAATGGATTGTACTCTACTATTTGGATCGGAAGCAAAGGTGCTCATACTGATTGTCATTGGGATACCTATGGTTACAACTTGGTGGCACAAATACATGGCAGGTTTGTTTGTTAAATTAATTTGTAGTTTCTAAATATATCATGTTCTTCAGTTGTTTGTTTCAATATTTTTTTTTTTATACTAAGCTTGTTTTTCTAGGAAGCTATGGTTACTTTATCCACCAAGTGATTCTTTGATACCAGTTAGACTTCCTTATGAGGAATCAACTGTATATAGTAAAATTGATATTTATTGCTTGAGTATGGAGGAGAGAGATCTTTTACTGAAAATCCCAGATAAACCAAAATTAATAATCCTTGAACCTGGGGATGTTTTGTTTGTGCCTAATGGCTGGTGGCATTATGTGGAATCTTTAGATAATATTACTGTGAGTGTTAATATATGGAGAAAATTAAAAACGGACAATAGAGCACGAGTCAAGGAAGCTCTTGTTAAATTAATAGTAGCCAAAATGAGAAACTATAAGCAGTTTAAGAATAAAGTAACTATATATTATATAAGAGAAATAATTATATCTTTTAAAAAATATGAACATTTTTGATTAAATACAAATAGGATTTGTTTAACTAATTTATGGTACTATCTCTTTTTCTTAATAGATTGAATATGTTGTCACTGAATGCATAAAAGAAGAGGAAAAGGAAAAAAATGAGAAAACAGAATTACCTCAAGAAACACCTTCAAAAAAATTTAAACCTACTATATGGACAGCAGAAGATTTAGCTGAACAATATCCTAATTATATTGAGGTGTTACATGACGCAGAAGAACATGAATTTAAAGAATTCATTGAAGAAAGACTGAAAAGAAATAAAGAAAAATACTCGCTGGATGAAAAAATTGCATCCGAAGATGATATATCTAATCCTAATCATTATGACTCATGTTTAGAATCTGTTATTAATGCTTTATGTCATCCAGATGTTATTAGTAAAGCAGCACAAGTATTATTAGAAAGACATTATTGATATAATGTATATAATCAATTAATTTTTAACAAATTTGTACATATGTAGAAACACACACACACACACGCAGATAGTTTTAAATATTCTTATCTGTAGCAAAAAATTTGCAAGTTTTATTCCAGTCTGTTAATCAAATAATTTAAGACATGATATCTCGTTTTTCTATAATATAATTCTAATTCTTAATATACATGTCTAAAATACATATTTCTTGATTATGTTATTTTAATTATAAAATATATATTAAATTCCCAT